AATGGTAGAATGGAGGGCACGGGAGACATGCAGAAGGCCGGAGTGGAGGCAGCAGGTTGTGGGTTAGGGGGTAAGCAGGTCGGAGTGGTAGGGAGGTGCCAGGGCATGAAGGGACTCGAAAATTTGTGTGAAGATCTTGAAATCACCTGTTTGGTTATGAGGAGCCAGTGGAGACTGGCAAGAATTGGTGTGATCCAGGTATGGAGTTTAATACTTGTGAGTATGCGGGCGGTTGAGTTTTGGATCAGTTGGATCCTGTGCATGGTGGAGCTGGGGAGACTGGCAAAGAGGACATTTGAGAAGTCTAGTCGGGAGATGACAAACACATGGACGAGTATTTCGGCTGCGTCTGGGGTACGCTACGGTTGGTGGTGGGTAATGTGGTGCAGGTGGAGGAAAGCGGTCCTGGTCAGGGACCGGATGTGGGGAAGGAAGAACATCGTCGGACCTGAAGTCACAGTTGGAGAAGAAAAAGTAGATTTATGTGTTTACCTCATGTCTGCGGATGATATCTCTAAGAGGGAGTGTATAGATGAGGAAGAGGAGGGGGCAAGGATGGAGTCCAGGGATACACCACAGGTGACCAGGTGAAGGCAGGAGGAGAAACCGTTTGAGGAGATAAAGTGAAGACGGTTCGTTAGGTAGGACTCGAACCATAACCCTTCACAGGATTTATTGTAAAGTGTAGTCGTTATGTATATTGAAGGCAAACAATTTGTACACAGCAATATCTTACAAACAGTCATAAGTAAATAACTAATTTTATCTTAGGGGTTGTTGGCCAGGGGAATCTTTTTAAAATCTTTTTATCAAATAGTGTTGTGGAATCTTTATTGTCCACCTGAACATGTAGTGAGTGAATTGCTTTTGTGATGTTGCAAATTGCTTACATGATAAGCAACTTCTCATCTAAAACACAATATCTTCAAAAATATAGCACTGTCACTGTCATCCTGTCAGAGTGTCAGCCGACAACCCACATGAAAGGCTCTATACCAAATGCTAGGATTATTATTATTATTAACTGTAATCACCACCAGGCAAGAATAATAATCTTGCCCGTCCCATTTCTTTCTCTCATTGTTGTCCTTTTTACTTGAATTTCCTTCCTTTTACTTAAATTCCTTTACCATTTGACCTCATCTATATTTGTAATTCCTCCTGATTCGGTTATTACAACAACATCAACTTGCAGTTATATAGTGTCCTTCATGCAGGTCCCATCTCAGAGTGCTTAACAGTGGCAGAGCTTGACGCCGAGCTGGGGGAAGAAAAGAGATCGAAGAGGAAAGTCTTCAGGCGTGATAATAATAATAATAGATATCCTTGCATTTAATATAGTGCCTTATCATGTCTTCGAGATATCTCAAAGACGATATTGTAAAGTGAATTGACGGTATACTTTCTAATCTCAAAAAGGTCAAGGAGGCAGAAAAGCAGAGGGATTGAAGGAGAAAGTTCAAAGTTTCGGGGTGCATTGGCTGAAGGCATGGTCACCAATTGTGGAACAGAGGGGATGAGAGTCACGAAGGAGGCTGGAACCAGTCGAGTGAAGGCGGCAGGTGGTAGAGTAGAGACCAGAGTTATCTTACTCTGGTCACACTTCCTACCTCCCATTAATAGCCATCTAAATGCTACACATATACATGATATTTTGTCTGGCATTATAGAGAAATGTGATCTATGTCACATCCCACATAAACATGAATAAGAAACAATTCAAAACGTGAACACAGTGTCAGCCTTGGCCTGGTGTGAAATGTCATTGATGTAACTCATCACCCTTTTCCTTTCATCTGCTAATGTGATCAGCTGATTTACTGTCACATTGGAACCAGTATGAAATCATTTGTTTTCAGATATTTACTGAAGCTGAGCTGACTCAATCATTTATTTTTAAATTTAATAGAACTATTTTTGTCTTATCATTCAGATTCAGACACTACAGACACTATTTCAGACACAGACACTATTTCAACCATTGAAATCATTACTCCCAGTTGTCCTACTTTTTCACTATAATTCTAAAAGTTTTACTTTGCTTTGTATTTATCTCCCATGTGAACATTAGGTTGTTTCAAATGTAAAAATTTTAAAGATATTTGAGTTAGGCTCGTTTTCAAATCCCTTCATGCTCTGGCACCTCCCTACCTCTCCGACCTGCTTAACACCAAACTCACAACCCACTGCCTCCACTCGACTGGCTTCAGCCTTCTGCATGCCACTTGTGCCCTCTTTTCCACCATTGGTGGCTGCACTTTCAGCCACTATGCTCCGAAACTCTGGAGCACTTTTCCTCTATCCTTCCGCTTTGCCCCTTCCTTCCCCATCTTCAGGTCACGCCTTCTATTCGACTGTATCTATGGTCACCTCCCCCTCCCCCAGGCTTGGCGTTGTGCTCTGCCACTGTCAAGCACTCTGGATTGCTGCCCTGGGTGAGCAGCACTATATAAATGTAAGTTGTTGTTGTTGTATCTCTACTCAGTTTGTTTAAATTACTTTTGTGCATTGTGTTACTTTTCCTTGTTACAGCTGATATATCCTCAATTGGGTTATTTTGCCATCTGTTTGCTTTTTTGGCTATGTGTCTGTCTCAGTTGTAACAGCTTTCACAGTTTTGCTGTTGTTCTTTACTGCTTTCTCTTAAATGATGTCAGGTTTAACTTTGCTTGTGTTGAGTGCTTGTCAACTATAATTTACGTATTATTAAATATACATTAATAAGTACCTAATTAATTTCCAAAGACATTAGCAGCCAGGCAACATTTTTGTTCAAAAGAAAATCAGCATTTCATAAGTGTTACTGTCTTAGCAATATATTTCTGTGTAAGCCTCGCTCATAATAATAATCCTTGCATTTGATATAAAGCCTTATCACCTCTTCGCGATGTCTCAAAGGGCTTCACAGAATATACTGTAAAGTAAATTGACTGTAAAGTAAATAGCAAAATGCGGCAGCCAATTGCACACAGCAATGTCCCAGTCATGGATTGAGTGACCAAATTATTTTTATTTGGAAGGAATTATTACCCCAGAAAAGCGATTTGCCAATTGACTAACAAATGGGTTCCTACTTACTGCTAGGTAAACAGAGGCGTGTGGAGTAAGGAAACCTGCCCAACGTATTGCCCTGCCGGGAATTGAACCCAGGTCCTCTTGCTTGTGAGGCGATTGCTCTGATCACTGAGCTACAGGACTCCAGGAATAATGTTTCCTCGGACACATAGAACTGATGCAAAGAGAATCTCAAAAATAATCGTATTCATCACCAACAACAGCAACTTGGATTTACATAGCTCCCTCGACGCTGGATGGCGTTCAGAGTGCTTCACAGTAATGGATCCCGGGCCCAAGCCAGGGGGATGGGGAGGGGGAGGAAGGTGACCAAAGGCGCGTTCGAAAAGAAAGGTCTTCAGCAGAGACCTGAAAATAGGAAGTGAGGGAGCAAGGCGAAGGGAGTGAGGAAGGGAGTTCCAGAGCCTCGGGGCATAGTGGCTGAAGGCACGGCCGCCGAAGGTGGAGCGGAGGACTCAGGGGACGAGGAGGAGGCCAGACCCGGAGGAATGAAGGCAACGGGCACTGTTTTGAGGAGAGAGGAGGTCAGAGAGGTAGGGGGGTGCAGAGGAGTGGAGGGATTTGAATACAAGGGTGAGGATCTTGAAGTCGAGAATCAAGTTCCTTATATTTTCTAATGCAACAGAAAAGTTTTCTGACTTTGGATTATCCATTGTATTTTAATACCATAGTTCAACATAATGTCTGAGAAAGCATTAGTTAAAAGCGATAGAGTTCAACTTTAGATTTACATGTTTTAAATGATATTCGTAAATGGGAATTGTGGCTTTTACTGGGTATAATCATTAAAAAGAAGCTTAACTAAGTTCAACATGGGTTTCCGACTTGCTGGTGTGAAATGCCATTAATGTTTCATCAAGCTTCTTCCTACTTACATGCTGCCTGAAATAAGAGGAAATCACTCTTTAATGTTCACATCACATGTTATTGGCGTTCTTCACAGCAAACCGAAACCGCGTTGACAGTTGTACAAATAAAGGCAATAAAGGAGAATTAATTATTATTATTGCTGCAAACATTAGCAACAGAACAAGCAAGCGAGTTCCCCTGAGGCGGGGAGGACGCTGTCCATGGTCCTGAGTCAGTCCAAGAAGACACTGACTTGTCATGATGGGTTAACTGTTTTCGTAATGTTGGGGACTAATGTTAGTAAGTCACACACCTTGCGGTGTCCTTGTTCAGCAAATAGCCAACACATACAGCTTACATGTGACGAACTTTAATGTCGTTTCCAAAATCGAATATTCCCATTGTAGGAAAGAGACACATTTGTCATTACATTCAGCTTAAAAATAATGAGTCAACTGACTGGTGAAACATGTTGAACGAGCATGCACAGTGGGGATAAGACATTGGCTTATTTACTTACTTTAATTCCTTTACTATTTCAACTCATGGAAGAACACATGTATCTGCAATTCTTGCTTTCTCAAATAACATGGTCTTTTGTCAGAGATGGGACCATGCAAAGTCCATACAAAGCATGGAATTGAATATTTAGCTTCAAGCATCAAGACAGCGCAAACTAGCAAACATGCTTGCAACATGCCTCCTTTTTTTTTGCACACAGGAAAACTTTCCTCACAAGTTAATAATGCGATCATTTAATCCTTAAGCTTTGCTCCAACAGACTGAAGACTGTGTGTCCATCAGCAATGTTAGTTCCTTTTGCAGTTGTAGTGATCTCAACTGGTTAGGAATATAACACGCTTCCGAGTGGCTCAATTGTCTGGTTCATGTTTCATTATAATAACAAGAAATTAACACGTCGGGCTTACTTCTCTGGATGTTTATCTTAACGCTGATGTCAAAATAAGATTTTTTTTTTTAAAAATGAATGCGGTACAAAGAAAACATTATTTAAAAAGCCTAACCTCAAATCAGACTTATTCTGAAAACGCCAATGCGGGAGAATGTGACTTTTGTTGAATAATAAATAGATTAAGGGGTCTCTGTCTGTCTGTCGGTCTGTCTGTGTGTGTGTGTCTGTCGGTCTGTCTGTGGGCGCTGGGCTGGACTACCTGTCGGTGGAGATGGCTGATTTGGAGATAGAGAATAGCTCCAGAGCCCGTTGTCTGAACTTCTGATCTCTAACGCTGTAAATAATCACATTCCAACAACTGTTGGAAGTCAGGATCCAGAAGGCAATGAAGGAGAATTCACACCATTGATAGCCGAGGACGTTCCCCACCACATACACGGCGATTGGGGTGAAGGAAGCGGTGAAGGCGAGGGTTAGCGCCCCGATAGTCTTTCCAGCTTTGATATCCGAAAAGGACGGGCGGGATAACCTGCAGCTGTGATTGCTTTTGGCGAGTACCCTCCTTTGTTTGGAATATTGCCGAATGCTACTCAAAGACAAGATGTTGATGACTACCGTCGCTCCCAGGAGAGTGAAATCGAAAGCCGGGAAAAGTAGTAAGATCTTCCAGCCGCTCTGGGGGAAGCTGCCGGCCAGGAGGGAGAAGTTGCACATTCGGCTGCATGTGTTGTACTCCAACACGATCTCCTCGCTGAACATCAGAGGAGACACTGCGAGGAAGAAGCTGGCAATCCAGGAGACGCCGATCAGGGACACCGTCCTCTTCCTGGTGATCACGGCCTCCTTGTGCAGAGGTTTCAGGATGGCGATGCTTCTCTCTATAGTTAACAAGAATATGGTGCTGATGGAGACCAGGGTGCAGCCGGCGAACACCGTCCCGATCACCGTGCAAGGCTGGAAATCGTCGCCGAATAAGGTGCCCAGCGCGCATTCTGTGGGCGCTCCCTTCAGCATCAGGAACACCTCGGAGTACACGGAAAAGGGCACAACCACAACGCCAACAGCGAGGTCAGCCACGGCCAGAGAAGCCTTCAGATAGCCATGCGGGGTGCGGAACTGCTTGGTCCCCAAGAACACAACCAGAGACACCGAGTTACCGAACAGCACGGCGATGGTCAGTAAGATCATGAAGATGACCGTCAGGATCCTGTTGACTGGGGTGCAGCAGCAGATGCTGCAGGTGCTGTGGTCTGGTGGCCCCACCATGCCTTCTCCTCGCCGGGAGTCCGCTCTCCAAACTTATGGCATCCCACGCGTGGTGGGGAACCACAACCAGTGGGCGCTGAGCTGTGGGCTGAGGGGGGGGGGTCTGAAGGATCAGCAGAGGCTCTGTGAGCTGCTTCGAGCAACAGCCCTTCTCCTCACCAACCAACCCATCCCCATAGTAGACACGAGTGGGTTCTGCAAGAGATGATCGGGTGTAAATAATGTTTGTGAAATTGGCTGAGGTTTCACTTTGGTTCCCCGAATCTGTCAACATTTTTTCCAATACCCAAACCATAGCGGCTGCTCCACCTGCACGGTCCCCGGGGGTCATTAGGTTGTACTGTATCATTAGATTTTCCTCCCAATCCACTTTGCAAGACAGTCAAATAAGATTCCAGTGTTTACAGCGCTGAGCGCATGGATTAAAAAAAATACATAAACAAGTCTGCTCAGGACACCCAGTTACACACAGTGAAGCACAAGTTCTCACCAGGGAACATTTTCGAGCCAGGGATCACTTGAAGCACAACCGAGGGAATCCCACATACTATCTCGGGGTCCAAAACGCTAAGACATTTGGAGTCGGGGACAGTTTGCACGTTTTACAAACACGAGAGAATCCAAAAGGTGAGGGAGCAGTGCTCCCACTCTGAACACCGAGTGAGATTATTATTATTATTATTGAGCACATTAGATTTAACACATGCTGATGCAGAATAAAGCCGACTTCTACACACAAAAAAATGGGAAGTCCACGATTTACTGCACCACTCACTGTAAGACTTATTTTTTTTGTCCTCAAATCAGATTATATTGATGGCTCCACCGAGCAAAATTAGCGAAGGTTAATTTCAGCGAACACCTTCACAACGAACTGAAAGGGATCCCTCGCCTCGTTGGGTCTGAGCTATGTCCTGATCCGAGGGGATGGCTCGGTTTGCCTCTGGAAGACCAATGTGTTAACCCAGAGCACCAGCGAGTCTCAGCACCCAACTCTGCAGCTCGTATTGGAATAAAATAACTTATTTCATTTCCACCCACGCCTATCCCCCACATCATAACAACTCCATCCGTATATGTGATCCAGTGATTGATTAGATTACACCATCTCCTTCCGATCTACTTATCAGCAAAAAAACAAATAAGACTCCAGTTTTTTCTTTACTGTGCTGAACGCATGGATGAAAATGAATTAAGACTGTCTTAGTTTTAAGATCAGATAACGGTTCTTTAAAGTACACGTAGAACATCGTGTATATCTTACCTGATCACCCAGCAAACCTGTGGGCTATATACTCCCCTGGTGTGCATTTGCCCGGACCTCCCCAAGAGCTCTTGTGGTCACTTCGCTGCATTGCATTGACTCAGCGCATGATATGGGGGTAGGAGGAGGGTTGGATGAATCGCTCGGAAGAGTTCCAGCTGCCGAGTATATTCATCCAGATGTTATCTCCTCACTCCAAGGTCCATGTGTCTTCGAAACTATGGCGAGCGATCCTATATAAATGTTCCCAGGGGATCAAAATGCATGTTCCCTTGACTGTATAAGCGGAAGAGTTGTGTTGCTCAAAAGGGTTTCTGACCAAGATTTGCTCCGGGAGCTGTTAGCATTGTGTTGGAAAACGATAACTGATTTCATTTTCATCCCTCAGGGTACTGCCCTCAGCGCAGTAACACTGGAGTCTCATTTGTTTTTCTTGACAAATAGATTGGAAGAAAATCCAAAGATATAATCCTATTAATGAATCACCGGACTACAGCTGTGGAGGTGTCGTTATGATTTTCTGGGATACATGCTGTAGAGACAACAGGTATAGCTATTTAACACACCACAAGCAAACTAACTATTCTATATTAGCAATCCACACAGTGAGTGAACTCAGAAATATGTATCTCTACTGTGCAGGATAATTGGAAGTATATCAATTCTGAAACCAGAAAATTTGGTAATGAGATATACGGCGTTTCAAAACAGATTCCATCACATTGCCATGAATCCTCACATTAACCTCTTCACAGTGAGAAATAAGACAGAGAAATGGGCAAAAGCAAGAAATAAACGGAATATTAGAAGGTTACACGAGTCTCGTGAACCAATCACTAAGCATTTAAAATACTTGAAAGTTAACATTTCACATTTTGGTCAGCGTTTCAGTTTAATTTGGAATTTAACTTGGAGTCAAATAAATAGTTTTCAGGTGAGAGTGGTTTCGAGAGCGGGAGCCAATATATGCCGCAGAGGATGATAAGCTTGAGTTTTCTTTGGTGTCTTGACACATGCAGAAACCTATCACCATGTTTAACAGTATTTAACTCCATGCATCCACCTACACATGGAAACCTGTTGACAGCGATATACAAGATGAGATTGGAGCTCCATGGATCTGAGTCTGACCTTTTCTCAACTTGATGCACTTCGAGATGCTACCACGTGAAGGACACAATATAAATGTTGTTGTTGATTTCTCACATTTTTATGTTAGCAACAATAAAGTCTATTATACAATATGTGTATACCATATACGAACATGAGTATAGTGTGATATGTGTAAATAGAACCATAAATATTGACTATACAAGTATAAAGGACATTAACAATGTCATCTGATGTCATGAAGGATGTCATCTGTAACCGTGAAGCACTCCTCCCAAAGTCCTGATGTAGGACTTGAGCCACAACCTTCTGACTCAGAGATGAGAGTGACATCAACTGAGCAAAGCGCATAGTGCATAAAGACTCCTCTTTTGAGGTATGCAAATAGGAGCACAATTTCAGTGAACGAGCAAAATTCAATGAGCCCCATCTGCATCCCTTGTAAAACTAGGAAAAAGCATTATTCTCAAACTTTACTTGTTATGACTTTGTTAATCAACATTAAGGAGAAGCTGTTTCAAAAGTGCAGTCAAGAAGGGCAATGTAATACCATTTCTGACTTAGTTCTGGTGATTCTTTTGGAAATCAAATAGTCATGGATAGCAACGTTATAGTAGCTTTTAGTTGTCTTGAGTTCATGAGTGAATTATGTTTTATGTGATTGCATACAGTATATTATTGAACTTAATGTTGACATTTTAGGAAGATTAGTTTAAGATGCAGAATCTGCTGAATCCGACTTTGTATTATATACAGTAACTTGCTTGAAGAAGAACATAATGTAATAGAAGGCTAAACGAGGATTTTGTTTTTCAACTGTATCCACTTAACTAGATTGAGTTTATGGTTTAGAAAAAATACAGAACAGGATTGATAAATAGTTTTTGTTTTGTCTGATTCATCTTTTCTCCCTCAACTGTTAAAAGATGAGGATTAACCCAAATGGTAGCTATCACAATATTTTCAATATACTTTGGAATGTATCAAATAATCAGCTTAAAATAAATTCATTTTCTGTAGGAAACAGGCAGCATGGATTTAATAGTGAATATATCTCATGTAAGTCTAAAAAGGGAAGAAGTTAATTGGCTGAGAGGAGCTGTCTTCCCAAGAGTATGGGAGAGTGAATTTGGCAGGTGTTACCTGGTATAACAGGTATAATTATGTGCTATTTCATGCTGTTCTCTTGTGATCAATGGTATCCATTGTTTACATAATAAGAATTATTTCACACCTTGGTGGATCTCCAAGCAATTCACCCATTTACATTAACACGACTGCTGGTCACTAAGTCAATATCACACTTAGTTTTTTTTATCTCGCTATCTATAAGTTAGATCTTCTTTATCTGTAATCCTTCATAGTCCCAATGTTTTGTCACTTCTTCCATTTGCACTTGATTTGATGCCTTATCATACTGAAACTTCTCAAAGTGCTTCACATAGTTTTTGTTCTGTAAAGTGTACTGACCGTGTTATTTGTAACTAAATACAGGCAGCCAATTTGCACACATTTATGTTCCATAAACCAGGAGGTGAGTGATCAATTTTTTAACTGGGAGATTGTTGGTCAGGACACCGGGGGAAGCTCCTTTCTTATTTTGAATAGCACCACGGGATCTTCAACTTCCACCTGAAGAGGCAAATGGGAAGGAGAGAGCCTATGATGTTGCACCCTCAGTATTGCATTGGAGTGTCAGCCTAGACTAAAAGCTGAAAGTCTGAACATGAGGCTTGAACCCACAATTTACTGACGTAGAGATAAGAATGCTTTCACCTTGCTAAATTTTTAAATTAAAATTGTGATGCAAAAGTGAGTGGAAAACGACTTAAATGTGCCAGTACTCAGCCTTGATTTAAAGCTGAACATCAAGGCATTGGGAATCCAACTCAGTCTGCAGAATCTGTCAAACCAATGATAGAGGAAACCACTAAAATGGAGTAGCATATAACACTGCACCACCCCCATCTTAGCTTCATGATCCAGTGTTCAAATTCCACAGAATTTGGGAATTTTTAAAATTCAGTCTAAATTTGAAAGCCGTTTTTCTGCAGTTCTATTTAAGTATCTGTGTCTGTCTCTTTAAAAGTCTCTTTTTTCCTCCGGATGTGAAAAGCGCATATCAAATGCAAGGATTATTGTTATTATTATTAAAAGTAGTATACATAGTGATGCAGGCAAAAACATTATTGAAATAGAAAAGTTTATTTGCATGATGATGTCAAGATGTCAACTCAGGCACGGAATGCTGCAGGCCGACTCTCTTCAAATCTCTGACTTTTCCTTATCACGTCACATCTCATGATTGCAGAACCTGTGACATTGGGGAGGCTCTCTGTGTATCAATACACTCACTACATGAATATCACTTTTCTCTGATTTTGGTGTAAATCCACTTCAGCTGACAACTACAGTTATTTAGCTGCAGCACAGTTTGTTCTGATTGCAAAAGAAATCCGTGCATGTCATTGCATAATATTCGTTGTCATGTGTCCTACTATTGCTGGTTGCTAGGCAGGAGGGGAGGGGGTGTCTACAAACTCCAAGGTATAGGAAGCATTGGCTGCAGATGACCAGAAGATCAGTTTCCAGAAGAAGACCCTTTGGTCCAATTGATCTCATCCTT